GTGTGGGTGTGGGTGTGCGTGTGAGTGTGGGTGTGGGTGTGCGTGTGAGTGTGGGTGTGGGTGTGCGTGTGAGTGTGGGTGTGGGTGTGCGTGTGAGTGTGGGTGTGGATGTGTGTGAGGTAGAGTCACCAACACCCACACACCCACACCCATAATTTTTCAAAGGTGCCAAGGACAAGCATTTTTCGAAGGTCCTAAGGAGTTTTTAAGGTTTTTATGAGTTTTTCAGCAGGTTTTCGAAGAGATTTCAGGATTTTGATACTGATAAATAAGATTTTAACAGGTTTTTGCCTCTTAAAACGCATTGAAAATGTAGGAGGCTTCTAATACGTCTGGCAGATCGACCTCTCTGGATGGGGCTTCTAATAGGGGGAGGGCTTCTAATATAGGAGGACTTCTATTATGGGGGAGGGGGGTTACTCTTTGATTCTGATATAACTGAATAGAACATGAACTAATCTATTGGTCTGCATCATTTTTATTTTGTTTATTTTTCATCTTTTCGAAAAATTGAATAAATTGCAAGAAGTGCTGAATTGAAACTATAGCACGCTCATGTTTGTGTGCAACGAGATCCATGAATGATGAAATAGCTTTAGATGAAAGAAATCCATCAAACTCAAACATGAAGGAAATACCGAACAGAGTGTGGGTGTGGTTGGGTGCATATGGGTGTATAGATGGATTTGGATGTGAGTGTCTTTGTGGTTGTGGGGTGTAGGTGTGTGGGTGAGTTTAGTTGAAGAGGAGGCTCACATTTAAACTCATATCCATACCCCCATATCCACGTTCACATCTATACTCACAGCCTACACTAACACCCACCCGGATTTCCAGTCCAAAACTCATACTCGCACCCAACGAATATGTATAAGGTACGAAATTTAGGGCAAATTTTAGAAATACAGTAAAACCTCTCTATAGTGGACACCCTTCGGACCTTTCAAAAGTGTCCACTATATGGAGGTGTCCACTATGAGGAGGTTAAGTGTTTTTCAAGAACAATATCTTTTTCGAAGAAGTAGGCACGATTTTAGGCATCTAAAGTATTAGTGAATAAGATAATCGGATAGAGCAAGTTATTACTTCTGTTTTCATACATTTTAATTTTTGAAAATAGAAAAATTAACAATTGTCAAAATAGTCTTTGATAGAACTTTGTTTCGCCGCTTTCGAATCCAGATAAATGTTCACTTTTTCTTAATGATAGTAACAAAATGACACAAGTTTTACAATGCGATTATTTATATACACGTCTTCTCTATTTAACACGACGGACGTTTTCTTTTTCTACAACTCAGACGTATTTTTTTTCATTCCACCGCCTGATAAATAAATAAGAGTCATTATGTTGTATGATCGATGGTAGTCATTGCGACATTTTCTTTGAGTTCATAACTAGTGTTCACTATATAGAGGTTATTTATGCAAAAGGGACCGTGAAAAAGTGTCCACTATATGGGAGTGTCTACTATATGGAGGTGTCCGCTATACGGAGGTTCAATTACAGCAAAAATCGTTTGGTCGGGTCCCAAAGTGTCCACTATAACGAGGTGTCCACTATAACGAGGTGTCCACTATAACGAGGTGTCCACTATAACGAGGTGTCCACTATCGAGGGGTGTACACTATGGGAGGTTTTACTGTATGTCAGAAACAAAAATCAATTATGGCAGCGAGACGGAAGAATTCATGTGTTTTGAAAAATTTGAGGATAAATCAGAAATTCCAAAGTATTTCTACGAAAACTATGAATTTTACCTGGTGATCGGACAATAGAGGATTTATGTTTACTCTGTTTTCTACATAAAGCCTGAAATGCAGAATGAAATATGAATATTGGTACATCGATACAGCGATGCTTACCGTTGATTCTATGGCAGTGTTTGATGTTGACAAAATTGTTGATAAATAGCATCTAGTTGTGTCGGTTCCTGCGCACAAAAGACACGATTAAGTTGAAGAGCAGCAATTGTTCCTGCGAAAAATGGAAATTTTGCTGCTGATGTGTCCAAGCAAGATCTTTAATTTTTTCTGCGTAATGAGGGTTTTCATTGCGAATGTTTTTTTTCGATAAGATATTCAATGAAATCGAGTATGATAAGTCCATAAATTTGCGCCGTTTGATTATAGATCGCCAGTAAATTCTGTAGTAGTACGTAGCCTTGCTGTGGTTTGCCTTGACGCCAAATATTAAGACCCTACAAATCTAAGATCTGGCCGACTGGGAATGGCAGATTCTGCACTAGACGCAGCAGTCCGACCAATAATGGACGTTCAGCTTGACAATATGGAGCACGTTGAAAAATTTCGACAAATGCTTCTAGAACGTCTCGCTTTGCGATATCAAAAATGTCGCCAATCAAGTTTGATCGCTTAAGCTTCCCATGGAATAGCTGCATTTCGTCGCTGACAGTAGCAATTGAGCTGTATAGGAAATCCACAATTCTCTCGATGTCGATTCGCAAATTATTTCTTAGCTGGTCATTGACGTTGGTACCGTCCATGAGGAAATCAGCTACATGCAGATTTTCGAGCGCGGTGAAAATTTCTTGACTTGATGGGAGCGCATAAATAGCTTCAAGTTCGTGACGAATTTTGTCGACGGCATTAGAGTGAGCAGGATAGGTTCGATAAAGACTATCGAAGTGGATCAAAAACATAATGTGTCAGTCGATGGAAGTACTGTTGAACTGCATCTTCAATGACATTTCGAGCAGCCATCACAAATCACAAATTAATAGCAAATCTGGAAACTATTATTGGAATTAGAGTTCAAAACCGATATGGGCGGGGTGTGTGTGGGGCGGGGGGTGATGTGTGAGTGTTCTTCTCATCTACATCCACACCTACACCCAGTGAGCTGACTTAATAAAATTCATAAAATTCTAATAGTTACTAAATAAGAATGGTTAAAAATGAAAATTATCTATATAGAAATGCTTTAAAATAATTCAGAATAAATCATAGAAGTTCAACCAATCGTTTAGAATCGGTAAAATAACAAAGCTTGAATACAATAGTGAACAAACATTAATTATGGTGTGACTCATACGATTAACATGAATTCCAAACTCAACTGAATTCCCATAGACAACTGTGACATATATATTTACTCCACACATCCTCACAACTTATATTTCGATACTCATATGATTATACTAGGGTCGCTATAGTTATACTCTTAGATCTATACTCCATTAAATCAAGTTTCTGAAGATTCTTGTTTTTTTTTTTCTAATAATAAAGGAGATGTGCCAAATTATAGATTGACCATTCCAAACAAGATCAGACTAATTTTATTAGCCCGATAATCAGCATTGAATCCTGATTATTTTTCACAAGTTTATTTTGCATTTTATCACAACTCAATTTTTTTACCCTTGGGGTCCCCTCAGGTTTCGAAAAAAATTTGTTTTCGCCGTTCCACCATAAGTCTTTCTAGTTCGATAGCGTTGTGTGTGCTGATTATGGTGTGGGTGTTGATCTTGTCTTCACTCACATCCACACCTACTCTCAAGAAGTACTTCCTCAGATACTTACTGTAGTATGATGATGATAGTATTCTTTGCTTTAAATTATATCGATGAAGTATTGATTGCAGAAAGTCATCGAAATGGCAAGACAAATTTTACTATTATTGCTCTCTGTATGTTTAGAAAAAATTGAAGAAGTTCATGTGGATCATAAGAAACCTTACGTGCCATGATGGATAAGAACCTTGCGGGATAATTAAGATTTCGCCTCTCGTTCTTTCTCTCATTTCTATGTACAAAAGATCGTTTTCATTACGAAACTGAAACATAATCACAATTAGTGCAAGAAATTTTTCAAAAACTCAATTGATAATTTGCTTTGGTTACTCGTAGGCTATAATACTTGCAACAATTAGAAGAATATTTCTACAGCTTTTGTCATCATTTGAAAATATATGGTTGCATACGTCGACTAATCAAGTTATTAAAATTGATATGAACTAAATAAATAATTGCAATATCTGCACTAGAAAATTGTTCTGATTAGATAAATAAGAGAAACAAAATATAGCAGAGTTATAGCCTGAAAAAACTCAATCGAATTCGTAAGAGGAAGCGTTATCATAGAATGCTTTTAGAAGCACTTGAGAAGTCTTCATGAAATACTCTAAAGAATCAACACAAATACAGCTTTGTCATCTTAAATTTATGTTACGTCTACTTTTTCTTGATGGTCTATATATGAATTCGTAGAAGTTGCTTTGCTCTTTCGAATGACACTAATTATAATTAGATCAACATATGTTTTGACTAGCTTATTGTCAAAATATAGTCATATGATTAGAGTAAAAATAGTTTAGAAATAAAGTCTAGTAATCGCCATTATTACCCAATAGAATCATTTTCATATAGATTCAGTTTGGCATCAAACGATTGTTCGTCAAATTCTACACCGATATATATATATATACTATTAATGTAAAAGTAAAGATAGACTGATTAATTGTTTCGCGCAGTTCGTCCATTGATAAGAGTTTAATGAAAAACGAGATTTGTCATTAGTAATTATTTGTTTAATTATATAAAGTAAAATACTCTCAAAAAATAATAAAAAAAAAGGATAATTGAGTTCGAATATGCAATACAATGATTCTTTCATTGACATTTTATACCATAGAAAAAAGAAAAAACTATTTTTTTTTCTGCCAAACAAAAAAAAAGTCTTTTTATTGAAAAATCTAGTGAAATTAATATTGTTTTCGGTAATATTTAAATTCCATGTCTTCTTTATCATTGTTATAAATCAATTTCATCAATTAAAAATGATTATTACTTGTTTTCAAATTTCATTTTTTATTAAACACTTTGGTAAAATAAGTGTATAGATTTCTATACGAAATTGTTGAGACATTAAACAATACATAATAAATGTTATAAATGATGAACCAATTGATGTTATATCCCATACATCACCCAAATGTGAATATAAGGAAAAGAAATCTTTATCAATACCACTAGCAATAAAAAAAAGACCTTGAGGAAATTCAACAAATGCAGTAAATAATGTTATAAATACAAGCATTCGTGTAGTTCGTAATTCACGTTTTGAATTCGGTGTTAATGATGATACATATAAATAACGATGACGAAGACGTTCACGTAATTGACGTGCATGATGAATATTTAATATTAATAATATACTGAATACAATTAAGATGAAAACAGGTAAAATTTTAAAGCATAACGCCAATATAACAAAAGAAATTTTTTCTAATAGTGTACCTGTTGTTGTGCTAACCCAATAAACTATTTCCGTTGAATTTTTAGTATATAAATGAGGAATATATATATAAGCTGGTTGACTAACAACACTCCATATTAAATAATTAGGTATCATTAATAAACATACTAAAAGAATAATGAACCAAATAAAAATTGTCACATGAGTTGAATTTAATACTACTTGTTTAGGTTTTGATATTATTGTATATCGAATCTAAATAATATACATATATATACAAAATTATCTTTTATTGAATCATACAAAGATGAGTCAAAAATGGCTTTATAGAAGCAAAATTTCAATATTTGCGGCATGCTTGGACCAAATGAACTGATTTTTTTCTACCATTAATAGAGAAGTGTTCTTGGATCATATCCATAAGAAAAACATGAAAGGACTGATGCAAAGTATCAATCTTAGCTAAATTAAAAACTATAGCTTTAAACGAGCAACGAAAAACAGTACTGCATTTTCTTAATGAATCCTAAGTATTTATGGTTAAAATTTTCAAAGTACGTTGAGTAACAAGACAAGCATGTATGATCTAAATTTGAGATTCAACAACAATAGTTTGAAGAATTAATCAAAAAAATAACATACATTGTTTATTTCTCTTATTATGGAAATAATGTTTTCTCAATACTTATGGAAGATTAATTTTTTTTTATTTGAATGATAGGTAGTAATCTACAGAGGTTTTTTTTAAACTTTTTCTTATGAATATGATTCGTGAACAGTCCTCTATTAATGGTTAACGAATTAGTTCATTGAGTCCAAAGATGGCGAAGACATTCGATTTTTTCATTGATAAAGCCACTTTTGATTCAATCTGTACTTACAATAGCTAGTAGACAGGTTAACAATAATCCTATGGAATGTGAAGTTAAACCGAGATTAGAATGAAAGATAGCAAACCATGGCCAAAACTGAGATTGACCAACAAATGGATTTGGTTGATGAAGAATATAAAAGTATAATGAATATATATTGTATGATATAAATACAATTGTATCAAAAAATGCCACATGTTGTAGAATTAAATTCGTTGGTGTTCGAAAATTTTTTTTATTAAGTACAATTATTGTTACGATACTTGCTAATATACCGAATATTGTTAACGGAAATAATATTCTACCATGAATTTGTGCATAATTTTCACTAAATTTTACAAGAATACTGTCTGATAAATTTAAAAACATTTTTTCTCAATTATTCTTATTGATCATCTGCGAAGAAAAGAAATGATTAATATAGATCGTGAACAAATTTATTCTTTTAGGACTAACAATTAACTTTATTGAAACGTGCTTAGAATTCTTTTTCTATAAAAAGACTAAGACAAAAGAACATTTTCATTAGTTATAGAATACTATTGAACAGCTCTTTTCTATTGGTATACTCAATCATTTGATTATTCTTTATATGTATATGTTTTCTCATTGCAACTTACCTCTTTCTTTTTTCTTTTGTTTTTTGAAGTTTGCCTTTATTCTTGTCGTGATGAGCTACACTCTATCTATGTGTTAAAAACAAAACTGCTATTTATAACATTTATTATCGAACAATGTTATTTTCATTATTATTTATATATATATATATAATGTATTAGAATAATGAGAAAAAGAAAACAATTAACTCTATATGAAGAAAGGAATATTATGCGTATCTATATGAAAATGAAAATAACATAGAAAAATTGATTTATACATTCTCAGTTAGCTTACAAATTATAAGAGATGACTTTACACTCGTATAGGATTCTTATTTTTGTTTTTTCGAATGAAATAGGCAACAAATGTTTTTGTTCGAGGAATTTATTTTATCAAAAAATTTGTTCATGTTCATACCGGTTAAAGTAATATATTTATTCAAGAATAAAAACTCGTCTATATGAATTTTAATTTATCGGTTTTAAAGCTTTAACATTCCTGATAAAAATGAATGGATAAATTCTTCGCCCTGAGTAAATGATTTAGGTTAAAAAAAGAATAACTAAGTACCTTTGAGATTTACGGAAAAGTTTTTTTAATTGATTAACTAATAAGTAAAAAGACGCTCATCTGATCAACCCGTAAAAAAGAAAACCGAAAAATCTCGATTCAGAATCGAATTCAGTAGAAATCACAACTAACGATTAGATAGACATGTCTACAATTGCCCCCGAAAGAAATATTGCTGCAAATGTCATTTATCGAATTGAATCTAGCTATTTATAAATCACTACAAATATAATTCTTCCTGAATTTCGATATCACAGGTTAAAACATAAACATATTCAACTTCGTAGAACCAAAACATGAGTCGCAATTGAACTATTATAATAACTGCAGGACTACAGCTGCAATACATTTATTTTTCTTTTGTTTGGAAGTTAATATCTCAGATGAAAATGTCATAAATATAAAGCATCAAGTACCTACATTTGTCCGTATGTGTAGGAAAGAATTCAGATGTACATACTTTCACAATCGATAAGAACATAATTAAATAGCTCATCTGAAAAGAATTATGAATTTATTTTTCTTGCAAAAGATTCAATCATGCATTGGATTCATCAGAACTTACATTAGACATCAAATGAAAACTATGTAAATAGCAAAATATCTACTGTTTTTCTATAACATGATATTTAATCTGTACTTTTTTTTTTCTTCATTTTTTCCTGATTACTCATATTATTTTGACAGTAAGTCTGAAGCAAATATGAAAAGTAACAATCTAAGATAATTTCATGTTTTCTTTTAGTGAAATCAGTTTGAATTATACTATCCTTTGAAATTAGTCTAATCCATTTTCATATTTTGTTTATATTCATTTCTAAGTAATAGAAAAAAAAAACAACATTTTTCTTCTTCGAATTGACTTCAAAAATCAGTGAGCGTGCTATTTTATTTTATAAACAAAATAGAAAAAAAAAAGAATCAAATAATAAAATCAATGTCCAAGTATGAATTGAAGTAATGGTATTACTTTAATCGATGATATATCGGAAAAAATAGCCTAAATTAATTATAAAACAAAACATAGAGATTTTAATAAAGAAAATTATTACTTCAATAGCTGATTCACTTGTTACTGTTAAAACGTTACCTTTACGTAACACAAATATTGCAGCAGCAAGAACTAAATTAATAAAGTAAACAAAAGTAAATATTAAAAGAACAAAGCCTAATCGAAATACGAGATAAGATTTCCAAAGAATCATAAGCAAGAATTCTATCCCAAAGTGCTAATAATTGATTTGAAGCTAAATAACCCGAAAAAGCTCTCATCATCCATTTAAAAGCAATTCGTAATCTAAAGAATATTTTTGTTTTTTTTTTTTTTCAAAATAAATTAATTAACAATTATAATAATTTTACGGTTGAACTTGAATTTCTTGTAAATGAAACCATAAATCAGGTGAAATTTGACGTAATAAAGATTCAAATAAAATACATAAACCAACAATTGCCTACAATAAACATTCTTGTTTAATACATTCTTTCAAACAAAAAATTTCTCACATTTGGTGAAGCTGATATATGATGTAAATTAAAAAAATATTTCATATAAAATTGTCGAAAGATAAAATATAAATGAACTGGATCTTCAAAAACGAAACATACTGGTGCAACTTTAAAAAAAGAAACAGCATTTTTTTAATTTATTTTAGAATAAAAAACATTTGTTTTACCAAGCATTGAAAAACCATAAAATGGAATAATTCCACTTGGTGGATATATAACTGAACATTCTTCCGCACCTATTTTCTTTTTAATAAATGAACGCGCTGGTTCACAACCACTTGCACTTGTTGAAAAACATGATTGAACATATGTATCACGAGAAAATAATAAAAGAACCTTTTTTTTTTTTATAGTTATTAAAAAAGTCACAAACATTCTTCTTTTTTTTTTCTTCTTACTTGATATAAATAATCTTCAAAAACAAATAATTGATCATCATTTACTGCTGTTAATTTTACATCCTATTGAGATGCAAAAACAAAATATTATTAGTACAATATTCTCAACTTATTACTTTAGTTATCATTCTTTATCAGAAGATCTACTTAATACAATATGTCTTGAAACTCCGATTGAAGAAACAACATGAATAACACTTTTAAAAGTTCAAAAGATCCAACTTTTAATTGTTCATAAAAGTAATTAGAATGCTTTTTCTACAAATTTCCTACGAAAAAACTCTATGATACATATTATAAATATATGCTTCTGAAAATAAGTGTTCTTCTTGGCATGCTTAGACATGAGTAAAACTGGCTTATTTTTGGAATATTGATGAAGAACTAAATTTTCCTAAGTGTGACTAAATATGTCTCTTGATTGAAATGTATTTTTTTTGCAAATAGTGCTGTTGTTTTTAAATATTACTTTAATAGATTCCGGAATAATTAATATCATTCTTTTCAAGAAAATAAAGAAAAATTTTATTGTTTCTCATGAAAATGTTTTCGATTCAAATATTCTTGTAACTTGAAATCGGCATCGACTTTATTTCTTTTTTAAAAATTGTATTGGAATTACCTATTCCTAGACACAATGAGTCCACTGAATCGGTGTTCATTGATTTACCTGAAATGTCCATATTGTATGATTGGATCAATGCTTCAGTGAATATCAAACCCGTATAGTCAGTGTATTGGTAAGCTCATAGTATTTTCACTAAAACTGCATATCCTTATGATATACTAATATTAAACTATTTGATCGAATAATCTAAATTCAGTGAGTATTTATGAAAACAAGGTCATTTCCTTCAAATAAATTCAGTAAGTTAATAAAAGAGAGTGACAAACAAAAAAAACTTGATCCTTAGAGTACAAGTTCATAAAGTTCTTCACACATTAAAAACAGGGAAAAAACATGTCATTTGCTTAAAATTTGAATCAACAAGTATCTCATATTCCGAAGTAGAATTAACTAATTTGTTTTATCTATAAGAGTTTAAAGTACCTTAAAATATAGACTATCGACTAAGAGATCATAATCAATAACATTTTGTTTGAGATAATTAAAATAAGTTATATGCTAAAATTGCAAAATAACAAACAAAACAAAAATAATTTTCAATAATATAAAAGAAAGATGATTTTATACCCAATTGGAAAGATCAACTTCTAACATACTTGACCAAAGTTTTCCTCGTAAACTTGTCGGACAACCACGTCGGGCATATTCTCTTACAGCATTTAAATTCGGTTTTTTTTCAAGAACTAAAATCGAATTTAAGGTTTTTTTTTTTTTGATTTTATTGTTATTTACTTTGTACTGCTAATTTAATATTTTCTTCTTCTTTAACTTCATTAAATGTTTCATCAGAACAATATTGAATTATATTTGGACGAAGTTCCGAATATAAATTTTTCTATTGAATAGATTTTTTTTTTTAACTTTTATAAATAAAATAAAACATACGATTTCAATGAAACTTTTTGTTACTAATGGAATTTTAATTAAACCACAACTAAAAGAAATAAATTAAATAAAACTTAATTAATATATTACAAAAAAGAATCTAACTTCCAAAGTGTTTCATCAATTTTTAAATTTGGATTTACTAATACACATATAACATCAAGAAAATCTTTTGCTGAATAAACAGGACGAAAACGATTTAAATCTTGAGAAAAAAAAAAAAAAAAAGAAAGTAATTTATTGAAATCAATTAAACATATAAAATAAACCTCCACAAATATGACCAAGTTCATTCCAATGTCTTCTTACTGCTCGCATTTCATTTTCATTTCTCTATTAAAATATAAAAAATTAAAAAGAATTTTATTTTGAAATATTTTTTTAATCAACTTGTCGTGCAAGTGGTAAATTAACTTCAGTACACATTGTATTCAAACTTTTTACTATCCGTTTTTCCCATGCTGACTAATACATAAGAAATAATTTAATTAAATAATTATTTTTAAAAAAAAAAAAAGAACATACTTGACCTTTCTTTAAATAATCTATTTCATATTTATGTTCATCAAATGATGAGACTTGAGAAGATTTAAATAAATGTTGATAATATTCATATTGATCTTTATTTAACAGGAAAAAAAATAAATAAATGAATATTAAATAGAATTTAATAAAACCTGATTTTTTAATTGTTTTAACTAAAGATTGAAAATCATCAACGAATTTTCCTGTTGAAACTATTAATTTCTATTGAAAAAATTTAGTAAAAAGCAAATATTTAAAAAAAAAAAGTTAATTTATTTAAATATACTTGAGTTTGATTTAAAAATGCTTGTTTTAATTTATCGTCGACTTTGTCAGCCATTTTATAATAATCTTAAAAAGAAAAAATATCTCATCAAGAATACATACGAATGAATTCAGATTGATTAATTACAATTCAAAATTTGTTGTCTTTTCCGATAAAAGTAATTGTCAATGTTTATTCAGTTGAAGAGTTTTCTTTTCAACATTTTTATTACTTTCATTTTTGAAAAACAATTAAAAATCAGCTGTACATGACATCCAAAAGCTTTCAATTATCTTAAAAGTGAATGTCTTCATCAGTACTGAAAATTATTCTTCGATTTTCTTTTGTCTACCAAAAATAAAACCGGTGAATACAAGATAAACTGATGATAAAGATTGATCTATTTGTTATTAGATATGTATTTTAAATGCGCAACTATTGATGTTAACTATATATTCGTAAAATGTTCATCAGATCGATCGTTGTTCTTTTCAATACATAGTAAGTAAAGATGTCATGGTAACGAATAGGGCTGATCAGTAAACACGGACATCTGTTGAAGAATGATCTTTATCTATAGAGTCTCTTCATTTTTCATTGATTTAGGAAGTAAAAATGGCTGATTGACCGAGCTTATCTCATCAATGTTTGCTCTTTATAAAATAAATCAAGTTAAATTTATTAATTAGAAAGAAAATTCTTGATTAATTGTGTTTGTGATCATTGATATTTTAATTGTAAACATTATAATTATGAAAGAAGAAATATATGAATTAAGATTATGTTGAAATTTTAATCAAACATTAGAAATTTATAAATCTCTATGTTAAATATTTCAATAGCTTTACTTTTTTAATCAATTGATATTTTATGCAAAAGATTGTTGTTTTTTTTTTGTTCTAGATCGAGAAGGAAGATTTCACTTTTAGTTTGATGATAAACAAGTGAAGAGAATTCATTCATGATTACTAGATTTTATTTTAGAATAGTTTCGAAAAGAAAGATTTTCTTGATAGATCTAATTTAATGTGCTTGTATACAATATGCATCTATATACTGTTCAAACATCCATGCTATTTAATTAGCCTATCTGAGGATGACACGTATCATGTAGAACTTTTTAATTGTATACTATAGGACGAAAAAAAAAAATTGAATAATCGAAATAAAGCTATTAATATTTCTTTTCATCTATTCGTTTTCATCGCTTATTTTGTCTCTCTATTCTTTGTTAATATTATTCAAATGAATCATATTATTGACTTAAAGTTGGTTGGTTGTTGTAAAAAGCTGACGTGTACACACGGTTTTTTTTTTCTTTCTCCTCTAGATGGCTATAAAAACATTTTTCATCATATTTTTTATAGGAACAGGTTTGAATTAAATTTGTTTATTTCAATGAAAAAAAAAATTTATTTTTTTTTTACAATAAATTTAGTAAATAGTCAACTTCGATGTACATTTGATCGTCCAATATTAGGTGAATATTATTCATATGAGAATGGTCTTGAAAGTCATACATCATTTAAAAAGAATGGTGATATTAATCGACTTTTTTATCGTCGAGAATCAGGTCGTGGTGCAACAGCTAATATAATAACTGTTCTTGATAATCATGCACTTGGTGAATGTGTTTATCTTAATTGGAAAGCAAATCCTTTTCAACATATTTTCAAACATCATTATCAACTTATTTATCGAGATAAGTAAGTTATATTTATTTTATTTTGTTTTTCTATTTTAATTGATACAAAAAAAAACAAAAACTAATTGTAGAAAAAAATCTTGTTATCAATGTTATGAAATATATAATCGAACACGTAATATTCTTCAAATACGAAAAAGTGAATGTGATGAAGTAACATCATTATCTACAAATCAAATGAATATTCAAGATCTTTGTTTAACAATTAATGAAGAAGCTGAATTTGATACTTTATTTTGTTAGTTTGTTTTTGTTTTTGTTATAAAATTTATTTTATATATTTATTATAGTAAAAACATATTCAGCAGAAGAATGTCGTGCAACAATATATGGAACATATCATTTTACATATGAATTTCGTGAAGGTGGTATTGGTATATGTGATAATTCAATATCACGTTTAGTATCTTGTCCTGATCCAGGAACTCCATTTGAAGCTGTTAATGAACGTTTTTGGATGACATATGGTTATTGTCGTGATCTTGTTTCATCAATTGATGCACAACCACTTTATCAATGTTTAGGTCATTGGATAAATGATAAAGGTGATATATTTACGGGTATTGCTAATGAACGTGTTGGAACAGAACGTTGGTATGATAAATTTCGCTGTATGTTAACACGAAAAGATCAACCAAGATGGTTTGCTAAATCATTATTTGCTGAATGTTCTCGACTTTATTCACCAACAGATGGACCAGAAAAAGTTATTATAACACCAATTATACCAGAAATTCCAACATCAAATTGTTTTTTTCCTGATAATTTTACTGGTGAATGGATAAATACAGCTAATATTAATGCAAAAACAATTATTAATTCTACACATATATATGAAATATCACGTGTTAATAATCGTGGTTGGTTAAGAGAAACATATTATATTTGTCAACAAACATCTCGTAGTCAATATTTAGTTAAATCAGTTACAACAGGTGAATGTTTTTCATATTATATTTGTTTTGATTTTAAAGATCGTCATCATAATATATTACGATATAGAAAATCAAAATCATTTATGTCAAATGTTTATGATAATCTTTCAAAACGCGATCCACTTTATGAAGTTTGTTCATGGATTAGTTTTGGTAATGATGCTAATTGGAAATATCAAGTTTTTGTTTTAAATCCACCATCACCTATTGAATGTCCATTTACTGGTATGTGGACATTTAAACAAGTTGGACAAACAAATTCATTAATTCGAACACGTATTCGTGGTGGTATAACACCTCGTCCTCGTGATCATGGTTGGTATATATCATGTGATCCAAAATATATGGTTTCTCAATGGACAATTTGTAAAGATGAAACAAAATCTATGTTAGTTGATCGTGAATATTGTCGACAATTAGATCCATATGGAACACCAATTGGTGTTTATGAACAACCTGATTATATATATCAATGTGCTGGTTATTGGAGAGAAGATTCTCGTTCATATTTAATAACATATGATCGTGATGAACCATATATTAATTTAAAATGTTGGGTTTATGAACGAATAGATTTATTTAAAATATATTTATCAAGATCAGCAGGTTCATTTTGTGGTTTTAATCAAACATCAGAAAGTTATACATCACAAGATGGAGCTGATCTTAAAATTGAACTTAATGAAGCTGAACGTATTCGTAAGTTATTTATTTTAATTTTAGTTTTTTTTTAAAAATTTGTTTAAATTTTAGATGATGATTGTCCAATTCGATATGATGATGGTCGAAATCCTTGGCAAATAATTGATGAATTTTTATTTTATTATTCTTCAGGATCAATAGTATTTTATTCATATTATCTCATTATTTTAGTAATTCTCACGATTTTTTAATCAAAATATTCACAGTATTTTTTTGATTTTTTTTTGCAATTTAATAGTCATTATTCTTTGTTTTTTTTAATACATTCCACATTATTTTTAAAAAAATTTCTAGTAGTAATATAATCACTTTTGTGAAAAAAAAGAAAAAAAATGTAAATTTTGTTTGTAGATATGTTAACTAAATTTGAATCGAAATCAGCACGTGTGAAAGGTTTAAGCTTTCATAGTAAACGTCCATGGATTTTAGCATCACTTCATTCAGGTATAATTCAATTATGGGATTATCGTATGAAAACATTAATTGATAAATTTGATGAACATGATGGTCCTGTACGTGGTATACATTTTCATAATGCACAACCATTATTTGTTAGTGGTGGTGATGATTATAAAATAAAAGTTTGGAATTATAAAACACGTAAATGTTTATTTACATTATTGGGTCATCTTGATTATATTCGTACAACATTTTTTCATCATGAATATCCATGGATTATATCAGCAAGTGATGATCAAACAATACGTATATGGAATTGGCAATCAAGACAATGTGTTTGTGTTATGACAGGACATAATCATTATGTTATGTGTGCACAATTTCATCCAACTGATGATCTTGTTGTATCAGCATCACTTGATCAAACTGTTAGAGTTTGGGATATATCGGGTTTAAGAAAAAAAAATGTTTATTCATCACCAGATACACTTCAATCACAAATTCAACGTACTACTGGAACACCAGATTTATTTGGACAAGTTAGTTTATTGATATTCAGTAATAGACTAAACCCGTAACTAGCTTTTATACTAACGACCAGAGATGAGCAAAGTCGCACCGCGCCTCCCCGCGCTTCCCCGCGCCGTTGCTCACGCCTACGCTACACTAGTCTGAGCTTTGATGAGCGCATGCTTAGAGCATCCCGGTATTCGGTGGAGTTTGAGAAACTGATTGGTAGAGCAAAGAGAAAGAGAGATGTGCGTAGCGCCTAGGCGCGGTGCGATTTTGCTCATCTCTGCTAACGACAGTAGGTCCCCAATGGAGATACGCTGTTTTCAATGTTATATTGAGGAACATCCTAAGAGTTTTTGAACTGATTGAGTTTATTTTGAAGGTTATTTCAATGGAAAAATAATAATCAATATCTTTTTTTTTTTCCATTGAAACATTTATAGTGTTGACGAGGATTTCATATGAACAACATGTTAGCACACCATTGTATTTCTAATCATTCTTATATTTTCAATTGTTATATCTATAGATGAGATAAATATTTTTCTTATGATAATTTTTTAGGCTGATGCAATAGTAAAACATGTATTAGAAGGACATGATCGTGGTGTTAATTGGGCAACATTTCATCCAACATTACCATTAATTGTAACAGCAGCTGATGATCGTGTTGTTAAATTATGGCGTATGAATGAAAATAAAGCTTGGGAAGTTGATACATGTCGTGGACATTATAATAATGTTTCATGTGTTATTTTTCATGCACGACAAGATTTAATTTTATCAAATGGTGAAGATAAATCAATACGAGTTTGGGATATGACTAAACGGTTTGTTTTTGTTTTTTTGTTAAATCAAAAATAAAATAATTTGTGTTTTTTTTTCTAGAGTAGCAATAAATACATTTCGACGTGAAAATGATCGATTTTGGATTTTAACAATTCATCCAACATTAAATTTATTTGCTGCTGGTTTGTTTTGAATACAATTTTAATGTTTTAAAAAATATTTATTTTTTAGGTCATGATAATGGAATGATTGTATTTAAATTAGAACGTGAACGACCTGTTTATGCTGTTGTTGGAAATCTTGTTTATTATGTTAAAGACAAATATTTACGACGATTGGAAATAACAACATCAAAAGATGTTCCACTTATGCAATTACGAAGGTAAATTCTTTCTTTTTTTCTAAGATTTAAAAAGTTTTTTTTGTAAATTTTATTTAAAAAATTGAAGTGGTCCACGTGCACCATATTATTCTATGTCATATAATCCGGCTGAAAATTCTATTTTATTAACAACACGTGTACCAGCTCAACCAGATACTTCTATTTATGATCTTTATACTATTCCAAAAGATGCTGGTGAATCAGCTAGTTCAACACAAACTCCAGATGGTAATACTTAATCCTTTTATTCACACTCACATTTTTAATAGGAGTTTATCAAGACTACAGTCAATAAGAAGTAACTATAAAAAACAAGAAGAGTTTGCTCTTTTCTTAGATTTTTAAATCAATGAAAAAACAAATTCGTCTAACTCAAAAACTGACTCGAGGAATTTTACACATAAACCTTAACAGAATGAAAAAAAAAATGTAATTAATCATTCACCATTGATAACATGTAAAAATGTTGAACTATAAATAAAGATTGATAAATTTGATCTGTATGACATTTGAAAAATAATAAGATATCTTATCTTAAATTTTTATTTCAGCTCCTGAAGGTCGTCGTTCATCTGGTTTAAATGCTATTTGGGTTGCACGAAATCGATTTGCTGTTCTTGATAAAAATCATGTTGTAAGTTAAAATTTGTTTTTCTTTTTATAAAATTTTGTTAATAAAAAAATTTTTCTTATAAGATTTTAATAAAAAATAATAAAAATGAAATAACAAAAAAAATTCAATTAGCAAATTGTGATGAAATATTTTATGCTGGTACAGGTCTTTTATTAATACGTGAAAATGATCATATTAGTTTATATGATGCACAACAAAAACGTTCATTAGCAAGTGTTAGAATAGGCAAAGCTAAATATGCAATATGGTCAAATGATATGAATTATTTATCATTATTAGCTAAACATCAACTTGTTATTTGTAATCGTAAACTTGAACAATTATGTATTATTCAAGAAAATGTTCCTGTTAAATCAGGTGCTTGGGATGATTCAGGTGTTTTTATTTATACAACATCAAATCATATTAAATATGCACTTGTTAATGGTGATCATGGAATTATTCGTACACTTGATTTACCTATTTATATAACTAAAATAAAAGGAAATAGTGTTTTTTGTTTGGATAGAGAAGTTCGACCAAGATTATTAACTATTGATCCAACAGAATATAAATTTAAATTAGCTCTAATTAATCGAAAATATGATGAGGTAAGATTGAAAGATTTATCTTTTTTCCTTTTTTAGGTTTCGATCGATTGAAATTTTCATTAATTTTAAAAAAGAAAATATGAGTAATATCACAAAAGAATATAATATGATAATAAAAAAAAAGATTACTTAATAGTATATTTTTCGTATACAAAAATGAAAATATTAATCAAATGAATTCAATTCGATTCGAATTATAGATGATAATAGAATATTAATTGGAATTAGTTAAAGAAAAATGTAAAGGAAACGCATACGGAAATGACACTCTCTTCCTGTAGTTTTCAATAGGACTAGTTTATTAGGAATGTATAGTATTTTATCTCACTTATCCTACCGAAGTTTGTATTTCTTGCATCATTTACTATGTTTCTCATTGAATATAAAATTCTTGAACTCGAACCGTACTTTGACAATCTCATTGAAGTTCTTTTAATCCATATTAGATAACTTTCTGGACTAAATCTAAATAAAACGTTGTGGTTCAGTCGAGAAATGCTCTTTATTTTTATTTTGATTTATTTTTGAAAATCTATCTAGGTACTTCATATGGTTCGAACAGCAAAATTAGTTGGACAAAGTATTATTGCTTATCTTCAAAAGAAAGGTTATCCAGAAGTAGCACTTCATTTTGTAAAAGACGAAAAAACAAGATTTGGATTAGCACTTGAATGTGGAAATATTGATGTAAGCAACTTTGTTTATATTTTGGATGTTTTTTTGTTTTCAAACATATTATTTTGAATTATTTAGATTGCATTAGAAGCTGCTCGTGCTTTAGATGATAAACGTTGTTGGGAAAAATTAGCTGAAACAGCTTTATTACAAGGAAATCATCAAATTGTTGAAATGGCTTATCAACGAACAAAAAATTTTGATAAATTAGCTTTTCTTTATTTAATTACAGGAAATTTTGAAAAATTAAGAAAAATGATGAAAATTGGTTAGAAAAAAAAATTTTTTTTTGTTTTTTACATTTATTTAATTTGAAAAAAATATTTTATTTAGCTGAAGTACGAAAAGATGTTAGTGGACAATTTCAAATTGCAATGTTATTAGGTGATGTTGAAGAACGTATTAAACTTCTTAGACAATGCAATCAAAGTAATTTTTTTTTACTTCTTTTATTTTTTTGTTGTCTATGAGATTGAATTATTTAATTTCTTTTTTTTTTGTTTTTATTAAATAGAATCACTTGCTTATGTTATGGCAGCGACACATGGTCTTGATGAACAAGCTGAACAATTGAAAGAATCTCTTGATGAAAAAGTAATTTAGTTTTTTTTTTTTTTTCATATAAACTCTTATGTTAAGAGTTTTCACCATCATAGCCTCAATCAACTATAAACTTCTACCCTTAATAGAACACTTCGACTTGTCGAGTATTTTCAAACATAAAAATTTGTCAACGAGTCTACGATAATGCTTCATTTATTTTCATAATTTTTAATTTAAAAAGGTTGTTTTTTTTTATAATTTGAAGATTTAGGAAGATATTTTAAAAGCACGAATAATTCAACATTTTGACTTTGACATAAAAATATTAAGTGAAGTTTTAATTTGTTCAAAAATTTCTCAAAGTTTCTTGCGACATTTGAAAATAAGATTTTTCTGTACTAGACTGCAAAAAATGTGAAGATCATTGTGATAGAATTCTGAATATAATTATATTTTGAGTATGCTTCTTCTTTTTTTTTCCTGGTACATTTATTCAATCGCTAATTAGAAAAATTAAACATCTCATTGAAAAATCAAAGGAGATTGCCTGAAATCATACATTATTTGAAGTATGTCCTTGAGACTTTATAAGATATAGATGAGAATCATCGATGCAAACATCGATTATGAATTGAGATATAACAAAGTTTTTACTAAGTTTGGTATCACATTCATGCTAAAGATGTCTTGTAAACTCATTTCTTAAATTGTTCCTATGTTACACGTTCATACTATCACCGGTACCGCTACCGACTTTCAGTTGAAATTATAAACGATGTTAGAGAATATGCTCTAGTCAAATTTGAAGTATTTATTAGAAAGAATTCAAATTAACAGAGAATAAAACAGTTTGAGAATATTTTTTTTACTAATAAAAACTTTTACAAAGTCTTTTCCCATGGCTGGTGCTATTTTCCGCTCTATGACTACTACAAGTGACTTAGATGTATCAACATTATCAATATGTATTGAAAACGACACTATTCTGTCAGTTTTAATAGACATATCGTTGTAATCCAATACATCATAATATTTCGCTTTCAAAAAAAAAATACAAACACTGCGACTTCAACAAAGTCATTAGTATGACTTCTTTCTATAGGTACAGTTAATTAAGATGAGATAGACTAGAAAGTAATAGTAGTAACAAAAACCACAGAGATTGAATCGATATGAATTTATAAAAAATTTCAATAAAAAACTTCGTCTATATTAGGTACCTGAAATAAATCCAAATGCTGAATTAATATTACCACCATGTCCAATAAGTCAACAAGAATCGAATTGGCCATTATTAGCTGTATCAAAAGGATTTTTTGAAGGTGCAATGATTCAAGGAAATCAACCAAAAACAACAACAGGTTTATCATCAAATATAACAACAAAACTTGCTCCAAATCTTCCTATCGATGAAACAATAACAAGTGGTGGAGATTGGGCTGATGATGAAGTACAAATGGAACTTGATGAAGATGATATGAATCGAGAAAATCTTCATGCCAATCAAGAAGAACAAGGTGAAGGTTGGGGTGATACAGAACTTGAATTACCACCTGATCTTGTATGTTATTTAGTTTTTCAATATAAAAACGAACACACATTAAAAAAAAAAAGCAAACTAATATTTGTTTTCTTTCTAATTAATAGGAAGTAACTGGTATAGGTGGTGGAACTGGTGATGAAGAAGATGCAAGTGGATATTTTGTTGCACCAACTAAAGGTCAATCAGTTCCACAAGCTTGGACACAAAATTCGAAATTAGCTGTCGATCATGTATTAAGTGGTTCATTTGAATCAGCAATGCGTTTATTACATGATCAAGTTGGAATTGTTTGTTTTGATGAATATAAACAAATATTTCTTCAAATATATTCACGTTCACGTACAGCTTTTACAGCACTTCCATCATTACCAGCATTATATGCATATCCATTAAGAAATTGGTTTGTATTTATTTGTTTATTTTAATAAATTTTTAGTTTTTTTTAATTATTAAGGCGTGAAGCTCATTCACCAAAATTATTTTATCCAGCTATTGGATTAAAATTAGAAGAATTAGTTGGACGTCTTCAAATAGCTTATCGTTTAACAACAAATGGAAAATTTCAAGAAGCTGTTGAAAAATTTCGTTCAATATTATTAACTGTTCCATTACTTGTTGTTGAATCACGTCAAGATATTCTTGAAAGTCAACAATTAATTGAAATATGTAAAGAATATATTGTTGGATTACAAATGTCAATGGCAAAAAAAGATTTAGCAAAAGATGATGAAAAACGTTCATGTGAATTAGCTGCATATTTTAGTCATTTACAATTACAACCAATACATAAAATAATGACATTAAGAACTGCACTTAATCAAGCATTTAAATTAAAAAATTATAAAACTGCTACAAGTTTTGCTAAACGTTTATTGGAATTAGGACCAACACCTGATGTTGCTCAACAGGTTTTTATTTTTTATTTTTTTTTTCAATATTTCATTTCAAGTTTAGAATCTAAAGAAATAGCTCCGAAAGGTTTTTAAAAAACATATACAAGAAACAGAATCAGGGAAAATATATATGAGAAAATGCTAAAACTTATCGGTTTTTCGATAGGACTATATTGATCGAATCAGTCATGATATTTGACGATCATCATTAATTAGACTTGCAGTCGATTAATGCCATAGAAAGAAGTTCTAATAATCCAAAAATCTAAATGTATTCGATTGATAGAACACTGATTGATCACGAATGCTTAAGAATGTAACGATGATGGCACACCACTGATGGTACCAGTCTAAACTTCTACGTATATACTAACGGCAAACGCATGATAAAACTCGAGTAGTCTTGACCGCTATTCTATATGTGCATGTTTAAATTAGTGCATAGGTGTATGATGGTGCTGATGATCACCGTCATGATTGCATTCCTATCAGTACGAGTTTCGTTTCTGATGCAAACGACGGATGTTAATATTATTGACAATAATTTCTAACAATGGTAATGAATGAAAAATTTTCCTAAAGGCTTGCCGGTAGTAACGAGTTAGTTGATCCGTTCATATAATTTGACAGTGTTCTATGACATACATCTTCCGGCTTATCTTTCCGTAGAAGTTATTAAAGTTTTTTTCATCTTTCTATACTTATTTATGAAGAGAAATAGTCTTGATTAAACAAATCTATAATGCACTCGAATAATTTAAAAAATTAACATGAAAAAAAATGAAACATTGTCAATATATGATTTTTATTTACATAGAGAAAAACAATTATTAATGAATAATTTTTCATGCTTTTTTTTTTTTTTATTTATTTATTTATTTCTAAACAATCGAATTTATTCTTCATTAAATGAAACATAGTTAACTAAAATGTTATTATCTAAAACTCGAATATTTCTATAATTTTTGAAAGATTAATCTGCAAATATTTTATCTTATTTAGACACGAAAAGTATTAAGTGTTTGTGAAAAAAATCCAGTTGATGAACATCCATTAAATTATGATGAATATAATCCATTTGATATATGTGCTGCATCCTATGTACCAATTTATCGGTATGAAATAATAAAAAACAAAAAAAATTTTTAATTTAACTAATCTTTGATTCTTGTGTTTAGTGGAAATCCATTAGTGAAATGTCCATTATCGGGTGCAGCTTATTTACCGGAATTCAAAGGACAATTATGTCGTGTTACAAAAGCAACGGAAATTGGAAAAGAATCTCTTGGTCTTAGGATTTCAATGAGTCAATTTCGTTAAAAAGAAAAAGAACGTTTTTTTTTTTAAATTTTATTTCATTATTATTAACGTTTAATGGATATATTTATCATTTTTAAAAGATTATCTTATCATTAGAACGTTTTTTCTTTTATTTCAAGATCATTCAATTGTTGTTATTGTTCATTCTTCGTCTTCTTCTTCTTTTTTTCTTTGAAAACAAAATTAACTAAAATTTGTTTTATCATCATAAAATTAATTGAAATAATTCGTTTTAATTATCATATTAGAACTTAGGAGATATAATTTTTCTCAAGATAATTTATGATAAATATCTCGTTTAGTTAACAATTTTTCAAAAACATGCGCTTTCAGAATAAATGCTTTTGATTTCAAATAATATTGAGAATCTCAGATAACATAAACAAAGTATTTCAGTATATAAAACGATGTCAATACAATTGAGAAAAGTTTGATGATTAAATAAATACATTTATATATTTTCTTGCAATCTATGATCTATGAAAGAGTTCTCGATTTAGTAATTCAACTGGTGATTAGTTCATTGTATATGAGTTATACCCAATTCCCATAAAAAGAATTTATCATTGGATCGAATTCCCATAAGAAGAGCTAGTAAGCAGCTTTTTTTCTTTAACTAGATTCTTCCGGTTCATTGAACTATGAGTTGTCTAACATCTATTCAATATTGACATCGACGGTCTTTCTTCAATCAACTTAAGTAAATATATGTAGATTGGAAATAATCGATATAAACTACAATAAACGATCTTACAAACAAACAAAAAAAAAGAACTTTTATTCATTGTCAAATTGACGAAAAATTATAAATGACATACATATATCGATTACATTGATCAATAATGATTTAGTAGTATTCACTATATAAAGGTTACATTATATAATCAAGTCATTAATAAGAATCATAGATAATCAAATCTATAAAACAAACAAAGTTTTTCATTATGAATTAAAAAGAATGTTTCTGTAAAATACAAAAGACTAATTTTGTCTCATTATATTTTATTCTAACAAATACAAAAGAAAGAAAGAAAGAAAATTTTTCATTTTTGTAAAAGAAGCTAAAATTAATTTCCTTTTTTTAGTTTATTTGCTATAGATTAAATAAAAACTAAAAATGGAGAATAATAATAATGATGATGATGATGATTTTCCATTCAATGGTTTATTTTCTCCAATAGAAAAAATCTTTGCTGATTTTGATCAATTTTTTTCTGGTTTTCCAACTATATTTTCAATTCCTTCACAAGATTTTAACAATGATAATCCTCAACCATCAACAAATTTAAGAGATGAAGTCCTTAAACAAGATGTTCGAAGTAAACAAAAACAAAACAAATAATTTCTAATTCTTGTTTTTTTTTTCTTTCGTAGGTAATCATTATGGTGATGAAAATCTTGATTCTACTATCGAAAAACATGGTCTTAATGGAGCATTTCCAAGAACATTTTCAAGTTCTTCAATGATAACAACAATGCATCGAGAAACTACACCATCGGGAAAATGTGTTATTGAAAAAAAAATTCAACATTCATCAAATCAAAATGAAAATAACAAAACTGAAACAATAAGTAAAATATGTGGAGATAAATATCATACAACAATAAAACAAGATGGAAAAATCATTCGAGAATATGGAAATTCAACAATAGATGAATTAGATCAAATTGATTCATCACCCAATGATAATAATGATGAACCAATTATTAGTGGAAAAAAACATTCTGATTTTTTTAAAAAACTTTTTTCTTAAATAAAAATTTTTCGATCAATGACTTGCTATAAATAAACAAGAGAAAATCTTATGTTAGGTTTTTGTTTTGTTTTGTTTTGAAAACCATCTATTTGTTTTTCTTTTTTTTTTTTTTACTTAATATATTTTATTTTTTCCGCTTTGTCAAAACTGAGTGTCTTTTCCGATTGAGAATAAACTTGTCGACAACAACATCATTTTCCTCAACAACGACAGAAAAAAAAAAGAAGAAAAAGGTGTCAATTCAGATCGGACGGGCATCCGACAAGTTACAACAACTAGAAAAACTCTCTTTTTTTTCTCCGCTTTTCATTCACGATTCACTCATATTAAAGAATATCAACTTAATCTTGTTATTGCTTTCTTAGAAACGATCTACAAATATTTCAATATCAATCTTTCTTCATAAGGTAAGCTAGTTGGACACGTTTGATGATATATTAGTATCATTTATTGGAAAAAACAAATATTTTCTTTTCTTGACATTTGGAAAAAAAAAAGGAAGAAAACTGTCACTAACAGAAAACTTTCCTCGTCTTGCTATTCTCATTAGTCATGGAGTAACATTGTTAAATAGGACATAAACGGAAGCGAAGAATGCATTGTGAAAATTAAGAAAGTTATTTTTCTCTCTTTCTTCTGACTCTTCTTTTTCTTTTATTTTCACTGATTCATTAAAAAGGATTGGCTAGAATAGAAAACGAGATTCTCTTTTTTTCTTCTTCTTTTTTTTTTTTTCTTCTTCTCATCATCAAACTGAAGACTATAGGGAACAACAAGAAAAAGTTGATGATTAAGGACTATTACCTATGGAAGCGAAGTGAAGCACATTATTTAATTGGCCTCACGAGAACCGAAGAGAGTTCAATTTTTCGATTGTATTTGAACAAAAACAAACTAGCAAATTTTTTTTTATTTAAAGATTTTTTTTCGTTTTTCTTCTCAATGACTATCTTTTTTAATGACATCAACTGGTGGAAATCTCGACAAACGATTAGATCTTGTTCAAAAGACATATCAACTTCAAACAACAAACAACAATATTGAAAATTCTCCATCAAATCGTCCTTTAGTTGCAAAAGTGTCTCATCATCAACCATCTCGTAAAACGTCTGTACACGACGTACACGAAGCTAACAACGATCAATTTAACAAGGTAAGATTTATATTTTTCTAGAAAATATTGATTATTTTCATTTTCATTTATATTTAATATAGATAGTAGGAGAACTACATGAAGGTCTTGCTCGTTTAAATGGTTTATTAGAAACAATGACGGGCGCTGCTTCTGTTCGAGACGAATTTGGAAAAATAAAACTTCAATTAATTGTTAAAATTGCTGATTTTATTTATAAATTAACAAATGATGCTGGAAGAAGGTAATTTCTAGTCTTCTTTTTTTAATTTATTTGCAATAGAAAAAAAATATATATTTTTTTTTTAATAATAATTTAGACCATCGAATGGTTTAAAAGGAAGTTCAACTAATTTAACATATAACCCTCAACATGTAGCCTATTGTGTTGAATATTTTCGAAATCAACTTATAAAAGCTAAATATTTATTTTCATCATTAACTTTATCAGCTTCAATTGGTTCATCAACTCTTGAAAATATTGTTGTTAAATCTCTTTCTACAATAAATCTTCAACAAACATCATCAAATGTTCAAGATGCACAAAATATTGAAGATATAGTTGGAATAAAAAAGTATTCATTTATATTTGAAAATGAATCGATATAATTAAAATTATTTGTTTAGGGATATTTTAAATTTAGAAGAATATATATCTTTACTTAAACAACGTTATGCAAATCATATTGCAGATTGGCAAACACTAGGTTAGCTTCTTTTTTTTGTTTAGTTTGTTCCCATGGTAATATCTTTTTTTTTTTCCTTATTTCTCTTTTTAAATAGAAGATGTAGCAGGAGGAACGGCGACGATGATGACAGGAGAGGAAAAATTGCTGACTGCTAATGCTGGATTTAATATTCAACGATTAGGAGTGACTCCAGTAACACAAAAATTATCAGCAACATCATCGACAACATCAATTGAACGTTCGAATTTTTGTGCTCGACTATATCAAAAATGTCAAATAGTTTGTTGTATTTGTACACCGAATTATTTGTAACATTTTATTTATTCCATCTGTGAATTGAAAAAATTTTTTAATCGATGCAGGCATCATTCGTATCTTCTTTTCTTTTATATTGTGATCTTATTTTATTTTTTTTTTCTTAACGATGATCAAATCAAAGAAGAAAAAGAAATCATGGTTATTTTTTTTATCCGAAAGGAAGAAAATATTTGACAGGAAAGATTTTTCTTCTGGAAAGTTTTCTTTATTTAGACGTATTACTTTTTTTTTCTGTTTCCTTTTATGTTTCTCAATCTAATTAATCAAATGGATGATTCTTCAGATGACAGATCATTCAGATTAACAGATTTTCAAGATTTTTTTAAAAAGAAGAAGAAAATTTAGATTTTCAATTACCTAAATATTTCTTATCGATTAAAGAATTTTATTATTTCTATACTATATTTAATTCATTTTATTTTTATGTTCTCAATCCTATCAAATAGAAAATGTTTTATTATTAGGATATCTGCTTCACACTCATGTTTCCCTATTAAATTTCAATGATGACAATTTACAAAAGAAAAGTAACTAATATTAACTTCCTATATTGTTTGATTATGCACGTTATTTACGGTATGTGAAATGTTAAAGAACAAAAGTCTTTCTAATAGATCGCTTTTGTCCCTGAAAAGAACATTCATCTTTATCAATTAGAACATAAATCATCGCATGCTCTTTAATATACATGTTTTTCTTATAATCATTTATACGACAAAAGAAAACTAAAATAAATATTAGATAATACAATTGTAGGACAATCGTCTTAAATGTGAAACGTGGAAATAGTTTTTAGATGCTTGTAGACTTACAACAAATGAATATGGTTTTTATTTGAAAAATATTAAAAACATTATTTTTGTTCAACTGTAATATAGTCAATTGTAGTATTCATCTTCTTATTTGTATCGTATGTGGCTTGATTTTTGAAGTTGTCATAACATGCATAGAACATTTGTTAGATGTTGAAGAGTATCAACATGTTGTATCTGCTTCCGTCTTGATTAAATGTTTAGCATAGAGATAGGATTCGATTAAAAAATAAAGACAAACTTTGATATTAGTGAGAGAATGGCAAGCAATTTTATTTCCATAATAATTAGTTGATTACAGAAAAGTATTCATCATTGAGTTCGAATAATTAGAGAAAGATTAACAAAAATGGTTGATGAAAACATTTGTCAAGCTTTCTTAATCTATTATATTCATTTTGTTGTTCTGATTAACAATGATATGAATTTTCAAACACGGAGATACTGGATATCAATCAAATTCAAATAATATACATCGAAAAGAATTTATAATTAGAGACAATTATTCTTAATTATAAATCATTCTAAAAAAATAGTGATCACTTTGTCCAATGGACATTTTGTTTTACCAAACAAACGTGAGAAATTCATCAAAGTACATGTATGATCAAAAAAATATTGTGTAGATATATCAAATTATACAATATTGAAATACATAAATTTCAATAATTCACATCTTATCATATCATTATAAAATTTAGATTCATAGACAAACATGAACAAATTTTAATGAAATCAAACAAAGACAAATGATCATAGAAGAAGTTTCGTTCTTAGTTACAAGCAAACTATTCTATTCAAGTCATGATCGATCATGATTCATTGGAAACTAAAATGAAAAACAAGAGGACTAGGTCAATAAAAACTTTTCATTTTCACAAAAGCCTTTTACTATAGAGTAGTTTGTCAAACATCAAAAAATCTATTGTCATCTTTCCAATGAGCAAAATAATTTAAATGTCATGTTTGAAATCAAATAGTTATTCTTGATTTATAAAAGAAACTGAGAGATTCTATCTGTGTAACATTCATTGAGTTTAAGAAAGTTGTTCACGAATATTTGCAGGTGAACATTTTTTTTACGGATGTTCTTTTCTACAAGTTTTCATAGAAATCTATGCTCAAATTACACGAAAATGCAGGTGAAAGTAAGCCATATTATCTATAAAAATCCCAAATTTCAGGACATTTTCCTTGAAGCATGAGTTCAGGGATGACAGTGAAAAATCCCAACAGTTATATTAGGAATACAACACTCTTTCGGCTACATTTTGAAGTAATGTGAACATAGGTTGCTACGGAAACTTGTAGAAAAAGGGTGCCCATAAAAAATGTCCATTTGCAAATATTCTTGAAAAAGTTTCTCAAATTTAATGCGTGTTATACAGATAGAAACCATCGAAAGTTATTCAAAAAAATGGTGGTTGGCATTTTAAAAACAAATCTGACAATACTACTGAGTAATCATCTTTCGAAGCTATAAGAGTAATAAAGGCAATGAAGCAGTCATTGTTAATAAAATAATAAGAAACTACTTCATATTTTGCTAATAAATAACAAAATCTCTGATATCATCAGTTGAAGATCTATTCAATGTAATTATAATTGAACGAGTGGCCTATGGGTTGGGCCGAGTCAAAGATTGATAGCTCATGAATGAGCCTTCTTCGTCTGGCCCATTTAGACAACTGACACGGTGGACCAGTGTCATGATGCTCTGAGCAATTACTAGAGAACATTAGTGATTGTTCTATTACCAAGTAATTCGTAATGAAAAATTTTCACGTTTGATTTTTTTCCGTCAAGAAAAATCAGCTGCATGAAAATAACGATTCTATATATTGTTTGCTCAAAAATTCTCGTAATCCAAAAATCCGAATCTATTGGTAGTGTGTAGTAAAACACGAAGCTCAAAAAATTTGAGAAATAAACTAAAAGTTCAGATTTCTAGACTCGAAAGACTTTGATCAAACTTTATAGAAAATCCTTATCTTCACAAAATGGACTTTCTTTGACGAATAAATCAAACTCACACATAATTCGTTA